CAGTACTGCTGTTCCGTAGCCCACGACTCCGTTTCTTGCCGAGCTGCCTGTTGCAGCCCTCACGGCCCACCCAGTCTGGGTCGCCTTGCTCGCCCTGTCGCCGTCTTCTTCCACTACCGTATAAATTCGGCTTTCCCACGGTGGCTGTGGAAACGCTCCGATGGTCTCAAGCCTGTCCACTGGTAGGTCTCGGTATGCTGCGGCCATCTTCTGGAAAGGTGAGATGTGCCTCTTGAAGCTCCGAGGTCTGGTACGTCGCAGCGGATGACTCGCAGGCAGAGTCTGGAGACGCACCCAGAACTTGATCGCTTTCCTTTCGAATCGTTCCTGGGCTGACTGTATGCTTGCCTCTGCTTCAGCGACCGCTGTGGCCACTGTATTGAAGGTTCCGATGATGGCTTGGGCTCCAATCCTCTGTACCCTGTTGATGACCCTCATCTGGGCTGTCCTGCACCTGTGTTTCCAGACGTTCGATGCGTAGTCCATTGTCGGCGCTACCGCCGCCACGAAGAGTTGCCTTGCCGTCGACGGAGATAGGCCCTTTAGTCGTCTGAGCTCCAGCACGGCTTCGAGGCCTTTCGACGCCGCTTCTGCAATATGTTGCTTGAAATGGAGTTTGGTATCCATGATTACGCCCAAAACCTTTACGCGGTCTTTGGGCCTGACTGTGTCTCCTTTGATGTCGAAGGTTGAGTACTCTTCCGGTTGTCGCCAGTTACGGGTGAAGTGTATGATGGCCGTCTTGTCTGCTTCGAAGGTCGCTCCGCTTCGTCGTTCCCAGTCGAGGGCTCGGTCAATGATGGCCTGGATCCCTTGTCGGTTCGCTTCTCGCGATGGTCCGGTGACCCATGCCGTATAGTCGTCTACAAATGCCAGCGATCCTCCATTCTCATCGATTTGGTGCTGGACCAAATCGGCGTTGAAGAAAAGGAATAGGACAGGCGACAGCGGTGAGCCCTGAGGTAGCCCAGCTTGAGGCAGGGAGCGGACGTCCGAGTCCTGGCCGTTGACCTGGATGCTTGCTGTCCGGTGCGAGCAGAACGCATCCACCCACGCCACCAGCTTTTCCGGGATCCCTCTCGCCTTGAGTCTCTGAAGCAGTCTCTCCTTATACACCCCATTATATGCGCCTTTGACGTCGAAGCTGACCAGACTGAGGACCTTTCTCTTCCTCCATGCTCTGTAGATGTACTCTTGGAGCAGAACCAGAGCCTGCTCTGCCGATCGCTGCTTCCGAGCCCCGAAGTGGCTTGTAGGCAGGAGCCCGTATGTCTCGACAGCATGCCCCGAACAACCCACCCCTTCCGGGAAGCCACTCGGCCGGCCGCGGCTGTGCCTTAACGACCCCGTTAGCCTTTTGCTCCGTCTGGAGACCTTCCCACAGGAGTGTCTCGGCCCCAGGCAAAGCCGAGACGGTGCCGCCCCGTATCCGGTACGGGCCATACGGTCGCGTCGTTCGAGTTTGCACCTTAAGCCGGCCGCAACGGTAGTCCCGTCTCTGAACCGACCGACATGCGCCTCCGTCCTCTCGAGCCACCGTGTCGTCTCCGCAGGTCTCAAGTGCAGGGGCTACTGCGCCGGCGATACCACGTCTTCTTAGGCGCCCCAGGTACGAACTGGGAGTGCATCAAATGTACCGGCGATACCGCGTCCAAGCGACGGCCCAGGTACGAACTGGGAACGCAGCTCCCCCGCTGCCTTCTGGTCACGACCACGGCGCTACGGCCCACCGGACACCCCGGGCGCAACCCCAGGTCCAGCTTCCCGTTACCGCGACTCGTCTCCGACTCGCAGCCGACCATGTCTTGCAGATCAGAGGCGCAGAGCAGCCATCACGCCGGCACGACTACTCGCTCTCTGTCCACTAACCCAACCCATGTCCGCCGTATGGTGTTCGATCGCGGTGCGCTGTGTCCTCGGGATCGGTCCGGCCGCTTTTCCTGTGCTCGAAGCTTAACAAGTCTGCTGACACCATACCAACCCGTCGGTCTTAACAACTTCCATTACGCTCGACCAGAGCACGTAGGCTTGTTCCGAGCCCTCGCCGGGAGACGCGCCGATGCCTCACGATGCTCGACTCGTCCGCCTCCCGAGCCCAGAGCTGGATGGGCCGGAGGGTGTCCTATCTCTTCATCGACGTCGGCCAATGTCAAGTCGGATGGTTTTCTTACGCCAGTATCCCCCGTGTAGCTTGTTGGCTTCGGAAATGGCGTGGGTGGCGCGGTGGTCGTTGATCGCGTAGTCTGTTTGTAGGTTCGAGAGTGCCGATGAAAATTTTCACAGCACGATCCAACCGCGGTGTTTCGACCGCACGCGACACACCGCGCCACACCCACCACTCCTACTGACACCGGACACCACGAGAAGGTCTGCCACATCGTCCTACTGCTTTTTCAAGCAGCATCCAGTGTGCTCACTGGAGGCCCAAATTACTATGTACGCTTGGGTGACAATGGATTCCATCGAAGTCATTGACGATGCAAGCGACTCCGATACTTCTGACGCTTCTTCCTACGACAGCGAAACGTCCGAATCTGCAACTTTAGCCCAAAGATGCCGGCTGAGACTTGCCGAAAGTGCCCTGACATTTGTGCCATGTGCTGACTGGGAGCCAGAACAGTCGTACGACAGCGAGCCTACGATACGTTACAATGTGGAATGGAAGCTGTCCGTGAAGAACAGGGGGCAAGCTGGCGAATCGGAGCTTGACGTTGTCGTGTCGCCACGCAAGTTCTGGAAACAGGTTTTCCGTCCGAAAGTTATTGACGCAAGTGTGAATAAGCCTTGGAAAGAGGACAAGGCGAAGCTTGTTCTATCCATCACCGGCCATATAACAGGCAACATAACGAAGCAATTTCCGGAACTACGGATTGACTGGTCATTCGTTACAGTACCAAACAGCTTCACGAATGGATCAAATTTCTAGATGACGGCAAAAGGATCACATCCATGTTTACCTCTTACTATTCACTGTATCTGATAAAAGGTCATCGCAATAGCTTGTTGACTTTATTCCTATGTGATATGCATGTCTTCTGATATTGCGATACACAGTCTTGAGAGACAACAAGGTCTAGTAAAGAGCCTGCTAACCTAGTCTGACCCTGCTTTTGGACTATTCATATATAAATCTGCCTCTGCTTGTACTAAATCCATCTGTTCTTCCCACCATGTTGCAGCGGGATCATCATCGTCACGATACTCATCAGAGCCTGAATCCCAAGACACCTTCCTGATGTTTCGCCGTTGTGCTCGTTCGATGGCCTGTTCTGTCGCCATTCGATAAACTTGCTCCTGCTCACGGATGTTTCGAGTTCTACTTGCACAGTCGTGACAAATCGAAGCGCGTAAACTCTGATCATTCGGTGCTCCACGCCCAACGAGTCGGCAGTGAAAGCAAACAACATATTCTTCGCCTCTCACAGTGATATGGGATCCTGGGCTGTAACCCTGAATGCGGCTGTTCGTACTGTCTGTCCCGCATTCAAGACAAAAGCGCTTGTGAGCGTCTAGACCACCTCTTCGTCTTTTCTTCTTGAGCATGGTGTCGGCAAACTTGTCGGCGTGTCGCAAGCGTTGACAACCAACACAAGTGTATATGCGTAGTCTCTCTGCAACGTCGGTATTTTCTGCTTCGATCTGTTCAGAGTGACCAAATATGACGATATCGTTGAAATGTCGACAAGTTCTTTTTAGGCTCAAGTTGTCCGGAAACGATAAGTGCCCGATAACATCGCGAAGGAGCTCATTGGGCAGGTCTGGTAAGGATGATGACGGGCTTTTAGCCTGCATTGGCCGTGTTAGATTGAAGTGCCTTAACTTTTGGCTGAGAAGAAGTTGGCTCCGACTTTACAGGTGGAATACAGTGAAGTCCCGAGGTGTAATAGGTAAAGGAAGGGAGGAAGGATTGTTATTTGTACGCTTTTCATTTTGTGCAAGCAGGGAAGCTTAGGCTTGGCTACACCGCAGTAACCCCGCCTTCGACGTCATACGTCTTGAAACCGACTGCCACGTCTCTATGTGGCGGCCGCTGCAGGTATTGAGGTGGAAACACATCTACGCTTTAGACCCCACCTCATCGACAGACGCCAGGACAAAGATAGATTCAGTAGTCACTGAACCACAATCGCTGGTACACAGTTCTCAGCTAAGCTCTGCTGACACCGTGTGGAGCACATCTAGAAATCTAAAGTGTCGTTAATGAATGAAGATGTTTACAATGTATGCTCTTATCTGTACTTGCTTCTATGACGTCAACTAATTAATTCCCAAGTTAAAAAGTGCTTCTGTAATCAAACAAGCACTTCGCTGTGCGCAATGCGGAAGGCGACCCTAGATAAGTTTGGTGCCTGGACTGAAAACTGCCTTCACGCACTATTCAGAAAGGGTTAAGGAGATGCACGATGTTGATGCGATTTGATGAATTCCAGCATGGCAGGCAGAATTAAAAGATCGTCGCCGTCTCGAGCTAAAATGGGTAGACATCCATTCACGTGGCCCGCAATGACGTACGCTAGCTTTTACTTGGCTTCTTCATTGGTGGACAACCTCTCCGTCATGAACCGCGCCAGAGCCTGCGGAGTACGAACGCCAGGTCTTCCCCGCACTTGTGCCCGTTTGAGGATCATCATCCGAACTTAAATCAAACAAAAGACCCATTCACCGACCATCAGACCGGGCCGAGCCGTGTGAGTCCACAATGGAGTCAAAGTCTCAGGATCCATCCCCGCCGCTACGGATTCTGTCCCTCAGTCAGAACAACCACGTCCTGCTACATCCTGGTCACTAACCAATCCAGATGGCGGTGGTATCCGCGGCATTTCCAGCCTTCTGATTCTCGAGCACTTGATGGAGGAGATCCGCAAAGAGCAAGACCTTGAGCACGTCCCGCGACCATGTGAACTCTTCGAATTAATCGGCGGAACAAGCACTGGAGGGTACCGCCACTCGCGACAGCTTTGACTGGTTTTCTGCTCACGCTTCCCAGGATCATTGTCATCATGCTGGGAAGGTTCCGCATGAGTGTCAACGAGTGCATCCAAGAGTACCGAAAAGTTGCCCAGAAGGCGTTCACTCCGAAACGAACGACGCTCTTCCCAGCCTCGCCGAAGGGTGCCTTTTCCACCACAGCGCTCGAAGAGGCGGTCAAGAACACAAGCAGGAAGTTCTGTACAGCGAAAGAGTGTGCCGACCAGCGGCAACGAGGCGTTGCAACAGAGAAGGTTTATCCCCATCGAGACTTGGAGCTCCGCGACCCGCAATGCACCAAAACGTACGTACCTCTTCCGCAGAGTTCTCAAATACGAGATGTGAGACTCACCTTTCCCAAGCGCCGTTCTTGCCATTACCAAGGACAACGTTGACGCCCCGCCAACGCTGTTTACAACGTACGATACGTCGGAGGGCTTTCGCGGGTGCTCGATCTGGCAGGTGGCTCGAGCAACGTCCGCAGCAACAACGTTCTTCAAACCCATTCGAGTCGGCCGGGACGAGATCGAGTTCGTTGATGCTGGGTTTGGCTACAACAATCCATGCGAGATCCTTGTCAACGAGGCGCGAAAACAGTTCCCATCCCACACTCGTATACAGGTACTCAGCATTGGTACCGGGCTTGGAGATGTCGTCAGCATTGGTAAAACGAGGATGGACATCGTCCGCGCGCTGAAGAGCATGGCGACCAGCTCACGATATGCATTCTCAAACATGACTGTGTTCACAGCCGGAACCAAGAAAACGGAGCAGTCTGAGTGCGCATCGCGAACACGGTAGGCGGCTTCGATGGCAACCTGTGTCTGGCCTATCCCTCCAAGGCCGAAAATAGCAGTCCTCTGACTGGCGTCTTTGAACACCTCGTCTCGGCCGACAAAGTTTTCGTTTCGTCCATACGGGAGGTGGCATCCTCCTGTACAAAACCCCCACGAACCTACTCTGATCGGCCATACGTCGCCAACAAAACCAAGAGTTATACCGGCTCGGGTGACAGCTTGATGGCGCGAAGGAGACTGGAGAGTTTTAATCCCGGGCGAAAGATACCCAGACCATTTCATTAGATGCTTGGAATATGACAGAGCGCGGTTGCAATTGCCGTACAAACCGGCGTCGCCTGGATACTTTGACGACTGCCTGATGCAATCCGTTGTCGATCGGCGTCGGCGTCCCGTGGAGGACTTCGACTAAGACTGCCATAGACTGCCATCAAGGCCTTGATCAGACGGATCCGGATCTACACGACTAGTCTCAGAGCTGTCAGAATTGTCAGCTCTGCGTACTTCTGTCCACAAGGCTAGCCTTTCGCTTTCCGAGACTGTCCAGGGTTATCAGAGGCAAACCAAACCTGTCCGCGACCTCAACGAACAGTGCGAGGCTTTGCGCGAAGTTCTCGGCCTGCTTAAGAACACCCTCGAAGTTGTTGGAAACCTCGATCTCGCCACCCTCAAACCTCCTTTGCGACGATGTGGCCAGCATTGCGAGGGGTTCGAGCAAGCACTTGGCAGATGTTCGTCGCAGGCTGCTGACGGTCGTGTCCGCTTTCCAGACTTGGCAAAGCTACAATATATAGATGGTGGCATTGGCGATTTCACCCAGCTCCTTGCCGGATACACATCCACCATCAAGATCGTCCTTGCCAATGTGCAACTGTAAGCTCCTCTATATTCTAATGTATCCTAGCGATATCTGACGGTTGACATGGATAGTGATCCATCTACCATCACTGCCGAGAGCTTGGAAGATTACAAAACGATAGCCCGGACAGCCACTGTTGACCTCGAAGCTATTCTGCAAAGCCTTGACGATAAGCTCACGGCCGCAGCCGGACAGACAATAACAGAGACCAGTTCTGATATTAGAGAGGAGCGGTCGAGCATACAGAATTGTCTTGATATCTGCGCGCAGTTTGACAATGCCCTAGAGCGGATTCAGATCCGGCCGTCTTTGGACCCGAATTCCGGTCCCTTCGATGCAAATACAAACTCCATTCGGAATACCAACGAGAGCCCAGAGGCTGGAACAAACTTCGAAAGTGAAGCTGAGGAGCTTGCCAAGCTGCAGGAAAATCGGACCCGTGCTCACCAGGTCAAGAAGAACGTCAGCATGATCGACAACGAGGCGGATGGCGACACCATCGTCCAAGTTCTGGTATCGACCACAGATAAGACAATTCGCGGCAAAAACAAGAGTGATAGCAACAACACGAGGACGGTACAAATTGGAGGCCACATGAGCGAAGAATCGGTGCAGCAGCTGTTCCGGGATGCGATGGGCATCTCGGTCACACCGGCTGCTGCTGCTAAAGAGATTGTCAGTTTCAACGGCCGGTGTGGTCCAGGGAGGGTCATAGGAAAAGTCCCTGGTACAAATCACCAATCAAATGTGGGCAGGGAATGAGGCACTGCGGTCCGCGAAGCTCCGAAGTCATAAATTTGGGGTACTGTATCTACCTTCGTCGGTAACAGAGAAATCGCCACGTTCATGTTATGCATCGGTACTGAGGCAATGACCTCATTATACCGAGCCGCTTGTAGGTATTTGGAGCTCAGGACATACGGTTCCTCTCGTCTGCCCCCAGGACAAGGTTGTTTATGGCGGCTTTCAGGGGAGGTGTGGACGGAATGGCTAGTATATCGGAAGGATGAGCTGCGGTGGTTCCCGCACGGGAGTTGTCCGTTCACCGTACAGAAAGACGGGCACGGTCACAATCTCTCTTTTACCATAACTACTTATCAGCAATGTTGTTTTGCGTCCATCAGACATGTCGATGCAGACCATAGATCTCTAGCTGCAGTGCATCACGACTATGCGGCGCGGCATCGGGTAGCCTTGTTAACGAAGGCGGGCCACCTGGCTCCGCGGCGGAGATGCCCACCTGTCCCCAGCACGCAGAGCCGCGTTTTTAGTCAGAGTAAAGAAGAAGGTGCGTCGCCAGTGAGGCCGTAATTCTTATACGCGCTGTTGGTCCCGTCCGTAGCCTTCCACCTGCGGTGGATGTATCCCGCGTCGGCGGAAATTCGACGAGCACTACGGATGTGAAGGAGATGGTTCCAAGAGCTAGCAGACATCCGACGCCGCGTACCCATAACACTGTCGCAGCTACCTTCCTCTACGGGTGGACCAAGCAACAAAGGTTTCAAACACCGTAACGTACTGAATTCCTCGGCGTTGTAGACATACTGTTTCTTGCGTGACAGCCTTCTGTGACGTAAGGTGGCCGGATAGCGTCAATCGCCGTCTGCAGTTGTCTAGGCCGCATCATTGCTCCACGAACGCTTCTTGATGTCCTTCCTGGGTTCGGTGTGCAGGGCTAAGGCATACTGGGTCATGCTTTTGTCGAGCAGGTTTGAGGATAGCCATGATTCTACGAGGGTCCAGCGGCGACTACAGGCCCACTCAGTAGTTCAACGCAGACGCTTCTAATTCTGCATCTAAGCTGGACGTTGATACCACTGTTGGGCCTATACATTGTCCGCATCATTCAGTGGCTCGCTCCTCGTCTCGTAGGTCTCCAGCTCTATCATAGATCCTGCCACTTATCTCTTGTTTGATCCAGCTCGCAAATCAACCGACTGCAGTGAACCGTATACTTATGATCCTTCCCTAATTTAGTCTCCATCTTGCCCAAAATACTCATAAACACGTCGTACGCTATTGTATACCTTCCTTGCTCTAGGCGGATTTGTGCCATACAGAATGTGTAGAGGAGTGTGTCTGGATGGTCCTCTCCGCATTGGCGAGAGCTCGTCTGGACTGCTTCAGTCATCAGCCTTGCCGCCTCCTCTCTTTTTATGTCATCATTGTCCCTTGTAGCCTGCCTACACTGTGTCATGGCCAGATTGTACATGGAAACGATTGTGTGATGGTTGCAATCTCCTAAAACCCGTCTGCTCTCCTCTAGCACCGGCTTCCCCAGCTTTTCCGCTTCGTCCAACTGCTTCTGGTCCACGAGTACTGTAACTAAGTTGGCCAAATGATTGAGCGTAGTAGTATTACTCATCCCCGGAACACGAGTGCTGATTTCAATGAGGGCGTCCGAAAGTTTCTTTGCGTCTTCAATTTTGCCTGTTTCGTAGTATGTGCAGGCAAGGTTGCCCATTGCGGTGAGCGTTTCGGGGTGTTCCTTGCCGAGCGTTTTCGTCTTTGCCCGTAAGACTCGCACCTCGACATGCTCTGCCTTCGCATGCTGATTTTTGCGTTTATATACGAATGCCAAGTTGCCGAGCGCGATCAGAGTTAGGGTGTTATCCTCTCCCAGGATTCGTTCCGTTGTCTTTACCACCGATTCGCCATATTGCAATGCCTCTTCATAATGACCTTGGCAATAGCATATATGGGCCAGTTGAACCTCAGAACTGAGCGTGTCAGGATGTTTTTCGCCCAAGACCCTCTGTTTGTCCTTTATTGTTTCTTGCACCAGTTCTTTTGCTTCCAAGTATCGCCCTTGACAGTGATATGTGAATGCCAGACCAGCCTTGCAGGTAAGTGTGGTAGGATGGTCTTCGCCGTGGACTCGCCGAATTGTATTCAGTAGTGGAAGCCAAAGGTTTTCTGACTCTTGGTTTTGGCCGTTTTCTCTGAGGGCATCAGCCAACATCAACGTAGTTGACAGTGTCAAATCATCCTCGTTGCCCAGATTCTTTATCATCAAGGACATGGTCGAAGACGCTAATTTTATCGCCGCCCTGTACTTGCCTTGTTGTATGTATATGCGAGCCGTAGTGGCTAGGGAACGAAGTTTAGTTCGGTGGTCCAGGCCTAAGGCTCTCCAGCTCATTGCCCTTGTCTTACGGATCAGCTGCATTGCATTTTGGTGTTGGTTTTGATCCATAAAAATCTCTGCCAGATCGATGGCGGAGTCAAGCAAAAGCGCGTGTTCTTCCTCTGTATCCTTGCATTGTACAATGGCACTTCTGATCTCGTACACACGCTTCGCTAGGAGTTCGGCTTGCCCATGTCGGGTTTGATGCTTGTATGTTCGTGATAGTTTGGTCATACATTGGAGTGTCAAAGGGTCTTCTTCGCTTGACGTCGATTTCAGCTTTTCGAGTGCGGATGATAGCAGAGCTTCTGCCTTTTGATATTGACCGGCATCGTAGAACATTGTACCCGTTTGGAACAAGCTCGCAATCGTATGGGGGTCGTCTGCTCCGAGCACCTTTCGCCTCATCTCCAATGCCTTCGTCGCTACGTCGATTGCACGTTCAACCTTACCGTTCGAGTACAGGAACACGGAAAGATTGTACATGCATGTGAGCGTGAAACGACTATCTTCCCGAAGTAAATCCTCCGTCACCTCACATAACTGTGCCGATATAAATTCTACTCGATCGGATACGGGCATCTCTTGATTGATTTTCTCACTCGTGAGATCGGGGGTGAATTGCTCAACAAGAAAGGCAATGGCCTCCTTGCTACCGTACTGGTCCTCCTGCCCGGATTGTGGTGTTCTCGATGAAGGGCCGCTTCGGTCGTCGGAAGTGTTCATTCCTGGGTCAGACATGTTGGCGAATGATGATCTTGATAGGTATTGCGATGGGTTTTGGTTCAGTGACGCGTTGGTACGTTGGGATGAGAAGAAGAGTAGCGGTTCACATGCGGGGTAATCCGTACTGTGTGTGCACGGATAGCAAGGCCCTTGTCCTCAGAAGCTAAACCCGCTGAGTTAGGTACCTAGCCTAAGCCTGGCTGCTGGTCTGTGCGCGCCCTCCGCACTTTTCCATGGCCCTGGTTCTAGCCATCTTGCAGTAGTACTTAGGATGCTCAACTTCTGAACAGGGAGGCACCGATGCACGTAGCTTGACTGCTCACCGCCAGATCGAGGCGGCAATTGTCGTTCTATGTGTATACTTTCTGGATCCGAACTGTGAAGCAGGCGGGCCTTACAAAGCACTTTTGACTGCGGACAATTTTCGACGGCGCAATAAGAGTCCTTGAGGCTTGCCGATGTCTCCTTGACCCAGAAAGAGAGTCAGTCGCATCAGCCCGATGTTCCGACGAGGTGGTGTACGGCGCCGTGTCGTCCGGTGCGCGGTAAACGGTCCACCTACGGAGGTGGAAGTGATGCTCGGCAATCAAAGTGGCCCCGTGGGTGGCTGTCCGCGACGTGGACTGAAGGTAACCGTCCACGAACCGGGATGCCGAAAGAGGCCGAGGCTATCCCGTACCGTCAGGCGCCATTCGTGGGTAAGGTCGACCGGTCGGAAATGATATGGCACTACATGTCTAAACACCGCAGGCGATTTCGGTGTTGTGGCGTGTCACGTTACGAAGAAACATGCAGCCAGTTTGCTGGACTTCTGGGGCTTGGCTTTGGCACACTGTGTGAAGAGAATTGCAAGCTTGGTGACCACGAGGTCTTGGGCGGGTGTTGCGTACGGTTTGATACATCCAAAGCAAGTAAGAAAAATTCGCAGCGTTTAGGTGAGGTACCTACGTTCCAACAACACGGAGGCGAAACAGACTCCTCTGTGTTTGCTTGTTCGAGTGGAATCTGCCAGGAGTGGAGGCGCCAAGCCCTGAAACGGGGCACAGCGTTGTGCCGGCGGTTGAAAGATGAGCAGCGCCTCGCCGAGGACCAGCAACTATCCAAGCTGCTCCGATGATTGGCCCGTCAAACGTGGTGGAGGTGCCAACAATTTGGTTCCACCACCAACAAAGCAGACCTGTCACCTGTCCAGAAGCTTGAGTGTTGCGAGATAAACGTGCATCACAACATAGGAAAAACGCAGAGGTCTTGAAGGGTCTATGCTAGTATCACACAGGGATGGCATTGCGGGTTGCTTTGATAGTGCATTCTGCTTGCCAGTTACTGCATCTACGAGGTTGGTGGAGAAGGTCCCTTTGATCTGATTGACCAACGGGTATCCGAGGTCGGGCCGAGGCTTCCAGATATCCGATGGGTGGGCTGCCAACGTGGCCTGCAGATGCACCGCCCTGTCATGGTACCGGTAGGTAGGCCGAGCTGCTTGGGGATGTACCTAACAGAGCAGTGTCTCATTGAGGGGTTCTGAGGCGCCACCTGAACTTGTTTATTGGTCGCTTAACTAGGCAATGAGGCGCAGCAGTTTTTCTGCTTCGAACTATGGTTAGACCCAAAGCGTGCACGTGCCATTCGATGTGGGCCGCTGCTCAAGGCGCATTTCATCCCTTGCGGGGTAAATAATCGCCAAACATCATCACCGGCGCCATCTAGTCTAATTTTTTGGCACCGCGTTTCGTTCCGCACAGAGCAGTCGCACGGCGTTCACAATTGGAATATCTACGGTCGATCGATCGACGACGGAATGCCCACTCGGGTCTACCAATGGCAAAGTTTCTCCAGCAGATTCGCATCCGGATTTGCAACCAAGCGACACCGAATATGAAGGTCCCCTTCGGCCGACTCATCGGCTAGACCTAATCAAGATTGGAGAAAACGGCGTTCAACTATTGGTCTCAACTCATGATCACGTATACGACGCTGCCAACGTCGAGGGCGGCAACAACACCTTCCAGTGTATTGGAGGCTGGAGCGAGATATCGATCCACGAGCTCGGACGGATCCTCATCGTCCACCAGAATAATGTCCCTAAACCCCCCGAAACGCCATCTGAACAGTCTGCATTCAAAGGCCAAGGCTACATGATCAAAGACCTCGGTCAACAACGCAAATTCCCGACGAATCCATAAGGTTTGCATGGTCAATGTGTAGGCAGCATGTATTCGAATTACCGAGAGAAGCGGAAATTAGAACACAGTCATATACAATGAAGTTCCCATCGCTTTTCAACTTCCGCCAATTGTCGTTCCCAAGGTTGAGTCTCTGTAATCATCAAGTCTTCGTCTGTACTCGCCTACACCGCCCACATGAGTCCCTGTCGTAGCAGTGAATACCTGGTCCTTGACCTGCCAGATTGCTAAAATGTCTAAGGCATGTTTCTGAAAACAGACATCAGGTGTTGGTTCTGGTTGTCAATCGCGACTGAACTAGGTCGCCACCCCGTCACAGATGTGCTCAATAAGGCCGGCGTCTCAAAATCTATCACGGGTTATTGCTGACGATGCGTAGAAGAGAAGGACACAGACGCGCGGCACGACCTTACCTCACGAGAGGCAATTTATGCTGTTGCACCTCGCAGCCCCAGCGCCGAACCACGCAAGTCAGAAGGCAAGGAGGAAACCCCTGCAATTCGCCTGCGCTATCAGCCTTGGGATATCGCCATGTTGCTTGTCAGTAGAGGCACGCACATGGAAGTGGACGGCCTAGACGATCTCAACTGCATTTCCGACGGACCGCCCGTCGGTACGTTATTGGCTCTCCACGACCCTAGCCGACTGCGGATGCCCAGCCGCGATGCCACTGACGTTGCCGGCTGGCTACTGACGGCGCAAGCTGCGGACAACAACTCTGTCATGGGCCAAAACACGACGCCCCTTGGCCACGTCTTGCGCAGTAGGCCAGTCAGACTGGCACAATCGGCTTCTCATTCAGAGGCGAACCAGTACGGCCGTTTCTCCAGCCAGCCTGAGTACACCCTGCTTCACGGGCCCGCAGAGCCTGCAAGGACGTGAGCACACCGACATTGATAGTTGACGCTGGTAACTACAGTTGCCCCATTCATTTCGCTGCACAAGACGAAGACTTCGACGTCTGGCAAACCTGATCCGGAGACTGCTTGCCAATCCGCTGGACAGTCAAAAGCAGACCGTCCTGCACATCGCCCCAGGCATCTGCTCGCTTAGCCTCTTGTGGCCTCTCGACCCTGGCGCCGGGCACTCGTTTTCGATACGGTCCCACGGCACGTGTGAGCCTTGACGTCGACGACGCTATCACATAGACATTCGAAGACGTAATCCAGGTCCTCGAAATCATCACAATGCGGGCGCCGCAAGCCTCCTGTGCTGTGCACTATCAATACCAGGTGATCGACGACCAGCAAAGCCCTGCGCCCACGCATTGTGTATCGCCCTTCATACAGAGAAACGTTTATCCACATCTCACATTTGCGGTCGACACTATCTGCGCTGTCTTTTGGACACCAGAGGGCGAACGAGTCGTGGGACAGCAAAGCTACGACAACCACACACCAGCACTCCGTCACCTGCATTGGCTTCTAACCCCCTCAACGTTTTAGCCCGCATTCTATCCTGCCGGTTGCCTTCTCCGGAACCATAAGTCGTACGGCTACCACTCCATCTCCGCGTTGAGATGCTTTTGAATCACAAACTCTGGTTAGGACTTCATCTCATCCAGGAAGCGGCAGGCTCTTGCTATCCGGGCTGATCTGGCCGACCTCGACACCAAAACGGCCAGTCTCTAGGAGGGAACCGGTGAATTTGTCGAAGGCGTCGGTGAGGAGAACGGCGCCCTCAACTGAGATATCATTGCGGATTGTGCCAGGTCTCTGGGACGCGACATCATCCAGAGGGGTAGCCATCGTCTAAAAACTGGTCATCCTTAGAAGCTGAAAGCGCACGAAGTAGTGCCAGCTTGAGATGTTCACAAACTTGACAGCAGGAACCAGCTCCTTTCGACTAGGTCTCACCTATCTCACCCTGTGGCGTGCGTGGTTTACATAGCATCTGAGCTTGGACAAGCCTAACAGGCCTACTTGGAAGGAAGAGACCTCTAGGCCAGACATCGCGTTTCAGAAAGAACCGGTGCAGGAACTAGAACCAAAAATGATCGAAACCACAAAACGGTCTCTGTTGCAAGAGATCTGGTGCTTAAAGACACCAAAGACAATACATCCAGGTTTTGGGTGTTCATTGAATGCACTCAACTCTGATCATGAGCAATAGTTAAGGCTCTAACGGCATTAGGAAACAACACAAAAATCAGAATAGAAGCGTGAAGAAGGAAGGAAGTTGTCTAGGGCTAGCAGCCGAGGTGAGATCAATGGGCTGAGGTCCTCCCTTTCGGCCGTAACTATCCCGGGCCCCAATTCGGCCCGACCGGCCGAACCGCACTGGATAACTGATATCCAGTGATATCCTATTCCGACAGTATCCCATCGAGTGCGGGAAAACGTCAAAAACACCTACTGCAGGGTAGAGCCAATAAGGGCATACGAAGTCTACGAAGGAAGTCGTTGTATCTAGCCAATAACCTGCTAGGAATTTCGGCACCTACGATTCTGATGCGATCCCCATTCCACGGGTCCACAGTAACAGCACGGCATCGCATCCTCAGCTCCAACTCTCGAGGTACTATGTATCAATTGTGCAGTGCAGAATGTCGGTGATGTGGGTGGTGTTACGCCGAGCGCGTGGGTCCGTGCATCGGTCGATTGGCTAGTTGGGGGGTTTCAGGCAGGTAACCCCTCGCAACGTGCGTACGTAATGCGACTCCACACTAACTAGGCCGCACTTCAAAACATGTTGATGTGATGAAGGTGTCCATCTGAATGGATGCGCACCCCGACTTGAAGCCTACGCATCATGAATGGATCAATGGGTGTAGAAGAACTGACA